CAGGAGGATGCAGGGTAACGTACGAAGCAGAGAAGATGCGGGGTAAAGAAGGAAGAAATGAGATGAGGATGCTGGGTAAAGAAGGACGCAGTGCAATGAGGATGCAGGGTATAAAAAAACACTGATATGAGATGAGGATGCAGGGTAACGTACGAAGCAGAGAAGATGCGGGGTAAAGAAGGAAGAAATGAGATGAGGATGCTGGGTAAAGAAGGACGCAGTGCAATGAGGATGCAGGGTATAAAAAAACACTGATATGAGATGAGGATGCAGGGTAACGTACGAAGCAGAGAAGATGCGGGGTAAAGAAGGAAGAAATGAGATGAGGATGCTGGGTAAAGAAGGACGCAGTGCAATGAGGATGCAGGGTATAAAAAAACACTGATATGAGATGAGGATGCAGGGTAAAGAAGGACGCAGTGCAATGAGGATGCAGGGTATAAAAAAAACACTGTTATGAGATGAGGATGCAGGGTAAAGAAGGACGCAGTGCAATGAGGATGCAGGGTATAAAAAAAACACTGATATGAGATGAGGATGCAGGGTAAAGAAGGACGCAGTGCAATGAGGATGCAGGGTAAATAAGAAGCACTGTTATGAGATGAGGATGCAGGGTATAAAAAAACACTGATATTAGGATATTCATTTTCAGGTTTGTGAAATTACCGTATTACTTTCACTCGTGCGTGCGTGCATGCGTGTGTGCGTGCGTGCGCGCATATATATATATATATATAATACACTATGAACAGGAACAAACTTGGCTAACCAAACTAAAACACTATCACCTTCTGTGATGACAGCGGAACACACCTGTAACGTTACAGTATCTGTGTGTGTGTGTGTGTGTGTGTGTGTGTGTGTGTGTGTGTGTGTGTGTGTGTGTGTGTGTTGCGTATGTTCGTGCGTGCGCGATCGCGCGCGTGTGCGTAAATTATTGTGGGCTTGTGCTCGTGCTAGTATGTGATGGCTATCGCCGGTCATCCCCCCCCCACTTACACCCTACTTTTACCCACTTACAGGGTATTTACGCCCCTGTATCATCCATTATCCAGGTTGAATTTCTAACCTAAGTAATTTTCTTAATTAGTACAAAGTTCTACAACAACTTACAAGACTTTGAACTATAGTACTAGGGCCTAGTAATTAAGTGGCAAATGATTGTCTTATGAGCAACTAGTTTTTACTATGACGTACGGCTGCTTGAGATGGTGTGATTACCTGATTGTGCTTTGTATTGTATACAAAACGAGCTACTACTTCACTTCAGTTTTGTTTTTTAACAGTTAATACTACATATACTACATAATTTTATTACATAAATCTATGCTGAGATACCCCTAACCATATGAAATGCACAATCGTCACAAAACATCGATCAAAATCAATTTAACATCGGCCTTACGTCATTTCCTTTGGGCGGCAGGTCACCGAAGTGTCCGGGCCCTCTCCCTGTACAAGGGACTTTCGGCAGAGCAATATGCCACCACATTGAAGTAGCGAAGGTGCATTTTTCGATGCGCACCTTCTCTAGGCATTCCATACTCCAGATTAAATGCTTAGCGTCAGCCCTACGTCATTTCTTTTGGGCGACAGTATCTATTAATTGTCCAACTTATAGTGGCACTTTATAGCGGCGCACGTGTGGGTCTGTGCGTGTTTGTGCTCACGCGCGCGTGTGTGCATGCGTGCGTCAGTGCGTGCGTGCGTATGTGCGTGCGTGTGTGTGTGTGTATTATGTATGTGTGTGTGTGTGTGTGTGTGTGTGTGTGTGTGTGTGTGTGATTGCGTGCGTGAGTGCGTGCGCGAAGCGTGTTGGTGGTGGTGTGGGGGGGGGTTGTGCGTGCGTGCGTGCGTGGGTGCGTGGGTGGTGCGTGGTGATGCGCATGTATACGAATACATTTGCGATCGATTACATGACTGGACGATGCTGCCACCTCGAGGCAGTAACTGGCATTACAATTAATTATATGACTGGAGATGCTGCTACCCTCGTGACAGAAGCCGACATTACAAGCGGAGTTATTGCCTACTATGACCATAAAATGATCGCCCCGAAACATTTCCTATAGTACACTTTACTTTAAGTTTCAGGCAGTAAGGTACCTATACTCGGAGTCATGATTAAGTTAAATCGGGTGGCGATCCCAATATTTATCTTGTGCGGCACTGCCCTGCCTTTCACATGACCCTGTAATAATCTAACTAATAATGTCATTAATAAAGGGTTCAGACTGCGGGCAACTTTGGTGCGTTGTCGCTCAAAGGCAAAGCTAATCGGTCGACCCAATGAATTCTCTCTTCTCTCTATCTACTCTCTCGTCATCCTTCTCTCTCGTCTTCTCTCTCTGCTCTCGTCTCATGTCTCTCTCTCGTCATCTCTCTCTGTCTTTCTCTCCTCGTCTCTTCCCCTCGTCTCTCTCTCTCCTCTCTCTCTCCTCTCCTCTCTCTCATCTTCTTCTCTCTCCTCCCTCTCCGTCCCTCTCTTTTCCAGCTCGTCATCATCTCTCTCTCTCTCTCTCTCTTTCTCTTTCTGACTCTTTCTCTCTCTCCCCTCCTTCTCGTCTACTCTCTCTCTCTCTCTTCTCTCTCTCCTCTCTCTCCTCTCCCTCTCTCTCTCTCTCTCTCTCTCCTCTCTCTCATCTTCATCTTCTCTCTGTCTCTCTCTCTCTCCTCTCTCTCTCTCCTCACTCTCGCTCTCTTCTCTCTCTATGTCCTCTCCAGTCGCTCTCATTCCCTCCCGTTCTCCCCTCGATCCATGCTCTCATCTCTCTCTCTCTCTGCTTCTCTCTTCCTCTCCTCTCATCGCTCTTCTCGTCTCGTCGTCTCTCTCTCTCGTCTCTCTCTCCCCCTCCCTCGTCCCTCCTCTTCCTCTCTTCTCCTCTCCGATCAGTCTCTACTCCTCTCTCTCATCTCTGCTCTCGTTCTCCTCTCTCTCTCTTTCTCTCTCGCTCTCTCCCTTTCTCTCTCTTTCTCTCTGTTCTCCCTCTCTCTCACCTCACTCTTTCTCTCCCTCTCTCGCTCTCTGTCTACAAGCGGCATCAGCCACGCACGCACGTTACAGTTGTCACTGCGCGAACACTGCATATAAACTGTGTGACGAGCGAGCGACGTACATACCCTCGTTAATCAATACACGCCACCATGCATCTACTTTAAATATGTGTCAAAATAACCTTGTCACACTTGAATATATCACAGATACATTTATATTCTTCTAGTATTTCCAATACGCTGTCAGAATCATCACGCAGTAATGTTGCTACATGGGCTAACATAGGCCTATGCGAAATTACCGCGCTCCGATAACAAAATGAATGCTGGGGGCGATTATTCGCGCTTGACGTCACATGCGTCATGCAAGGCCACCGTAGCCACAGACACTTGGAACGCATGAATAGTACTGGTAAGTAAACATGAA